CTTTTCGACTTTCTTCTCAGGTTGAAGATGATCCCTAAACACTGCTAAGCTTGTAATCGACCCATTCTACCAACGGTTGCTCAACAACTATCCCGAAATGTATCAAAGGCGACCAAGATTACAATATATATACCCAGCAATGTTGTACACCATATCACGACCACAGGAACACCCGCGCATGCCTAACGGATCCCCAAAGCTAAGGTCGTCCAAAAACGAGTTCCATCACTTGATAGGCTTGGGAATTATTCGAACATCAAACGGCCCACGAATACCTCCTTTGTACAAGATCTCTAAAATGGACAGCAAAGGCTAACGTTCAACTGGTAATTATGAGCAAAAGAATATGCAGACCACTCCTGATCACTTCCCCTTGCTTCACATCCACTATTTGGAAGCTAACTTAAAAGGTACAACTGTCCTATCCAAAAATCAATCTGGTTAACGCGTATAACCGAGTTCCCATGGCTTCTGAGGACATTGTTAAAACCTTTATCATTCCTCCCTAGATCTCTATGAATTTTCACGCATGCACTTCCTTTTAAAAAATGCTGCACTAAATTCCCAGAGATTCAACGATGATTCAACGAACTGATAAGTTTCTATCAACGATTCATAGTGAACTGCGCTTCTCTCATGAGACGCTTAACAGACTAACTTTGTGGGAATGCGAAATCCGTCGATTTGGACGACAACGCTGAAAAAAATCACTACAGTTGATGAAATTACAGCTAAAGCAACTATTCTTGCACACGAGAGTATCAAAGGACCTACTAGTAACGCAGTAGGTGCACCCGGCGCAGCAATTGGAGGAGACATACAACAATGGATAAACAATACCTGGCAACGTCTGACATTCATATTTGGGATAGTTACGAGGCACTTGATCGAGGTGTAGCACTGACGCCTAGAAACGTAAAATCATGTCTCTGCTGTACGCCACTTTCAACACTCTATTGAAGGCCGAGAATTCACTCTGTATACCGACCATAAACCTCCTTCCTTCTGTATAAGCTCGTCTTCAGCCAATACTCACCCTAAGCGTTTCAACAACTGGACTACACTTCATAGTTTACTTAAGATATACAAAACATTTCCGAAGTCAGCAATGTGGTGGCAGACGCCTTGTTTCATACAACTAACTTGAACAGTTTTCAAAGAATTGACCTTCTTCAACTCGCCTAGCTTCAAAAGGAAGACACAGAACTTCTGCACGTGTTATCTTCGATAACCCTGAAACTACGGACCAAACGGATGGGAAAAGGTATGAAAGGTTTCCTGCGTGGCAAATGCACGAGTGAAGATCGCCCGATCTTGACGAAACATTATCCAATAAACTTCGTCAATACATTGCACAAACGTCCTAATCTAGGTGTTCGAGCAACAGTCCAGCTCACAGCAGAGCGATTTTATTGGTTCGGCATGAATAAACACAAGAATGGACACGTTCTTGCGTTTGATGACAGAAATCCAAACAGTTCAGACACAACGAATGTCCCTTGTATTATTTCGCAGTTCTAGACTCTTGTTTCAACTATATTCAGCTTTATATGGTAGGACCCTTATCAAATTTATGTGCGCTAAGCCTCTCTTGCAACTGACGGTCAGCTTAGATCAAACGCTTTTCGACATATCGGTAGCTTTCCGAATGTGTCTTCGACCACCATCCTTTCTGTCTTCTAATTTGGCTGAGTTGGCATTTCTTGATTATAAAGGCTTTAAGTGTAAAGGCTCTGTCAAAATCCGAGTACTCAAGACACCAATACCATTATTTATGAGCACTTACAGTTATGTTGGCATACATGCTTGTTGTAAACTATAAAAGACTGTAGTTCGTTGGTCAGTAGTATACTACAAGTAGCATCTCAGGAGTCTTTCGACAGGCGGTATTATTTACTTTAAATGACTCGGCACGATGAGTCATAATAACTTACGGATAGCTCTGTTACTCATATGTTTTATCTGCTATGGTCCCCACATCAAGAATCCATCTCTATGAGACGAGCAAGCTCGATGAGCGAAGACTTCAATTTCCTGTTTAAGTACTTGAACCGCTTGAATGTTACAACTCCACAGTGCGGATATTATAAAGTGGACGCCACATCCTAAGTCTACTGGTCGTGATCTACTAGTGTTTGTAACATATGTCTTACTTAATATAGCTATCCTGTTGCCTACGTATTCTTGCATATTTCGCTGTTCTTAATGCTTGACGCAACGTGATTTACAACTTGTCTCCCCCCATATTTATCTATTTGATCGTCAGTCAGCTGTGAATTTAAAAGACCGTATTATTTCATCACACAACCCCGAAAAAAATACTCGCGGAAAGCTTTCTTTTTACGCCAGATATATAAATACGCCTACGACATAGTCCACACATATTTTGCTGGGAAAACTAGCCAAGCTCAGTGGAATGTATTAGATTAACATCGGATTTTGAGGAACAAACCCTTCGAATACATGCATATAACGGCATACTAAAAATTACGAACAACACTTTTTGTATTTGGGACGAGGATGTGCTGCATAACCCAGCAAACCATTGGTCAATAATATGTGGAAATTATTGGGTCCATGAGCCATCAAAGGACTATGTGCTAATGACTCCACAGGTGAAATCTAGATTTCAGGTTTATTAAAGTGTGGTTAGACGTGGACAACAAATTAAGTGACACTGACTGAATAAGAACATTTGGAGGCCGCATTTTAGGTAAGCGCGGACTACCGAAAAAGAGTCCGCATGGTCATCGTAACAAATGCTTGACATGGCTCAGAATCGTCTACAATGACGCAGGTGCACTAAGTTTATTTTTCTTTGGATCTTAAGTTAATGGGAGTTTCCTCGCTAATTTATATTTTCTTGAATTGTATAACGGATCCCTAATCTTTCCTATTAACACTCATGTTTTTACTACCTCAACTATTCCGGGGTCCGCCCTTACTAATCCATCTTATTATTTATTTTTTTATTTAAACACATAAATATTAGTACAAGGAAGCACCAGATAAATATGCGCCGCACAAATCTCATTCGACTTGTGTGAGGGCTGTGATATTGCCCAGGTACCCAGACTGAATCCATCTTACCTTAAAGATAACAGCCTAAACCGTTGTACACATGCGTTAGGTCCCACACTTCGCTTAACTGACCGATTCTAGATCCTCTTCGATGGACTGTCGATACCTGTAAAAATCGCTGGCACTTTGACTTACAATTGTAGTTTTGGAGTCATGAGTAGTAACCCTAGTAAATTTGGCATTTGAGTCACTGTAATCACCACCAGATAGTAAAGATGATAAAATTGATCCACTTTCCTTTTGCACAGGAGCAACATACAATAATAAGACTCAAAGCCATGCAAGGTTCTCTCCCATCGTTCCAGTTTCTCTCAGCGAACCGCCTCGTCCCCAGTTATGGTCCCAACAGTTGTCGGTTTTTTAGACATGGTCCTTTTACTTGTTCGCGAATGTGCACTGCTACTACCTTTGTTTTCATGTCTAGAGCTACAGTCGAGTTGCTTTTTCCCATAATGTTCGAATTTATTTAAGGTAAGTTTCTGAATGTCCGCTATGCCGGGTTTCACCTTGTTTTCGTTCCTTCGACTGCAAACACATCGCCATCAGTAAGACTTCTCAGGAAGGCAATTGTTAAGCTACTGACTTTTAGACGTAAAGCTTTTCAGTGACGATGACTTACTACTCCCTTTATTTTTCAGTTACTACGATAGTTGTCCACTCTTCAATCAAGAGAAAAAATCCCTGAAGACCTCGTCCCTATCGTGATCAGGGGGTTAAATTTCTTGCTCAGGTTTACCATGAAGAAAATCGTGGAATGGCTCCTTGTTTTATCTTTAATTTCCGCAATATGGGTATCTAAATTAATGGGGATTATCACTGTACAGTCTGACTGCGGCAACCTAATCCTCAACTGGTTGCCTTTTCATATATTATTCATTTTTGGAACAGTTTCTGTGTTAATTATACTTTATCGTACGTACAGTTTTAATGATTGTCCCGAGGCGTCCACGGAGCTTATGAAGCTAGTCAACGAAGCAAAACGGGATCTCACTTACCGCGGATTTGTTTTTGAATCTTAATTACTAAAGAACGTAAGATTAGATATTTTTGCACTGTGACTAACACTTTGTGATGTTAATTTGTCAGTACGTATGTTGTGTATAAAATCTATTTTAAAAGTTAGTTGCTCTTTTAATTCCATTGGGTAAACGGGATTAGTCTTACTTAAAGGGCAAATTGATTATATGAACTGAAAATTTATACTAAAGCGTTATATACGAACTGACCACATGCCCCCTTAAGTACAATTAATTTTCTAGATGCCCCGTAGAGTTATAAAACCGACTATTTATTCCATGCGCCGTCTTCATATGTTGGGAATACATCCTTTTGTTAAATATTATTCAGCCACATGATCTGAGCAGATTGCCTGCGCAACTCAAGTTACCGAGGGTTTTAGATTAATTCAAGTTAAAAGAGCCTGTTATTAAAAAATTATGGGTGTGTAACACAAGCCCACTAATCGGGAGGATCTTTCGTCCTACCGACTAAGCCTTAGAAGGTATTGGCCTCAAAGACCTCACGGCGCGAAAATGAGAATCTTTCAGCTCGTAAATTATTGACGCTTTGTTCTCTTCTCGACCCTTGACCAACCAGTCTGCTCGAACACGAGTATTTCGGTCACGAACTGACCGTCGATTTACAGAACTGATATCTTCATTTTCGGTACCGGCTGAAATACAACCTGTTTATGGTGTCGGTATGCAAAACATAAAGGCGCTGAACAAAATCACCATTCCACCAAAGAGAAAAATGACATGTTGCCGAGATCTAAATTTTTTCGTTGTTGCTCTAAAGAATTTGAAAAACGGTCTTGCAACAACGATACATACCACATTGATGTGTCGATAAAGAATAATATTTTGTTAGTAGCGGCTTTAAACGCGTATAGATTCATTTTTATCAGTGAAAATTCATTTAATCAGATAATATGTATTCATAGAGAGCTAGGATTGGCGTAAAAAGTTCTCTTTCACGTAGCATGTAATTTCTAAAGAGACATACATAAATATTGTATTTATTTCATTTATATGTACAAAGCCACAACTTGAATTAGAACGAAACGTTAGCTTTTGCTTCATCAGCTACAGGTTCTGCAGGAAGAAAGATAAGAGGAGCATACTACTTACTGTTACTTCTTAAAATTCCCTTGGCTGGAATAACACTAACCGGTGGGGTTAGGGAGATGCAACGAGCTGAGTTAAATTCTAAAATTCACATGGTTTGAAATTGTGCAGTAAACCTACTCTTACGAAATACCTTACCAAAAGACACGCGTCTTTCAGAAGAAGGAGTGTTTGAAGTACACTTTTCTTCAGAAGCAGGGGTGCCACTTATTGAAACATTAGGAGATATAAACTGACCGACGTTTGGTTTGGATTCATAATCACATGTTGAAAAAGGGCGTGGAGAATCTGGAACTGCTGTGCATTCGTCAACAGACTGCAATTAGACGTAATTACACAGGAGAGTTACCTTTGTGGATATCTCAGACTTCATTCTCTTCGGACATGATTCTTCAACAAAACTATCAGCTTGATTGCTGAACTCTGCATTAACGGGCTGAAAGTAGTTGGAAAGTAAGTAGTGATTTACATTAGTGGTTTCAGCACATAAACGTTTTTTAACCATCGGTTTTTTCCTCTTGGAAACCTTCGGAATTTTTTTCTTTCCGATCTGAAACACGTCAAATTTATCAGGAATACTCACCTTAAGCTCCGATGAACCGCCTTCATTACTTAGATTGTCACAAGTATTTGGAACGATATTTGTCGTCTATGAAGGGTAAACATAGTGGAACATTCTTTTACCTCAGGTGACGATTCTGTACATAGCGTGGGAACCTGTTCATCGGTCGCCACTGATGTAGCTTCTCTATTTGCCAGAGTTCTTTTTAAACTAAAGAAAGCCACTAGATAATCAGGCAGTTAAATTACTTCGTGTCGACTCGTTTTAACGCGTTTCTGTAGGAAGAATCTTTGCTTAAAATATTCTCAAGACATTTCATAATACCATCCAAACAACACTGAATTAAAATTATGTGTAAAAACAAAGGAACTAAGTATACTTGTGGACGTCTTCGAATAAGTTTTGTTAACCGAGTAATCAGAGACAGGACACTGTGAGCGTAAATGTTGTGCCTAAATAACAATAAAAACCATTTGAATGATCTCACTTTGGTAGGGAAGCTAATAAAACCAGAAGATATTGAAAGACTAACTGCACAGATAACATTTTCACGTTCTGCCATTATCCTACGGTTAAAAATTTAAAGATACATACCTTTTTCGGAAGTTCTTCACCTATCAGAGTACAGAAATGTATTTTTAGACCAACAGCATGGTTTATATCGTTGTTTAATATCTTGGTGAAAATTGCCTCGATAAAAGAAGGTAAAATTTCGGGTTTTTTACAAGAAATAAACTGAAGGCCTCTCGTAAAAAATTCTCGTCCGAGCTAGCTAACAATGAATGAACTGTTTTTCAACTTACCAGCATAAATTTGTCTACCCTCCAGTAATCTAAGTTATCCCATTCTCTTGCTAGTGTTTCGAACATGGCATAGGAATAATACAATGTGACCGTGCTGTCCTCAATGCTGGGTAATATGTTACATAACCGTACGACCGTTTGTTCCTTTGAGTAAAAAATATAAATTAAACGTAAATACCTTCAGCAGCAACTTGTCCTGCATCCATAGACTGTAGTGAAGACCTTTGCAAATGCCTAACAACTGTTCGTAAGTCCAATCATCTGTAATGGTCGATTAAACGAAGGCAGTGTTTACAAAAACATAACGACCACGTATTAATGAGGCTTATCAAAAACTTCTCATAACAAGCCACTGTTATAAGATCTCCAGATAACTGAGCAAAGTTTCAATCATAAATCACAGAATACGGTTTAGAACTCATTCGCCAACTTTATGCCCGTTAGGTATCTTTGACTGATTAAACTGGCACTTAAGCACAGTGTGGTACGAGTGTGTATCTATACATGCTCGCACATTAAGTCAGTGAGAAAATGCTAGGAACTGCACAGTAAAAATAATGGAATATCAATTTTATGGCCACGCTTTGATTTTTCTTATTAGAATCTAAATAGAGGATGTATCTAAACGTTGAGTGTAGATGAACCACCAATCTTCCTACGAGATGTTTTGAATAAACTTATAGTGTTAATTTGATTGATGTCTGCACTAACGTTTTCGGTAGGATCTAGATTGTATGAATCAAGTCACTTATGGAGGCTGGAAAGTAGAATGCTAAGTATTGAACTTGTCAAAAGTTCAGTCGCTCAGTCATCTACAACGTAGGATCAGACACATATATGCACCGGTCTACGTTGCCATACCAACAAGATGAACACCAAATTCATAGGAGCAGTTACTTCAATGGTAATAATATATAAAAGGAAGATTACATATGAGGATATGATACAAGGAGCAAGAACTAGTTCGTAGAAATAAAGGTATAAAGTAATTTTAACCTCACAGTCTAAGGGAAGACAAAGAGTGTATACACCTACACCATTGTGATCGATTCTGAGCCATGTCACTCAGAGTCTCCAACTGTTGATTACGATAGTCACGTGGACCCCAACCAAGTAGTCTGCATCTACCAACATGGTTCAGATCAGAAGTTAGTGACTTCAAGGACTGATGCCACTTTTTGGTTTGGTCACACCTAACTTTCTTCCAACCATCTCCAAAACTAGTCAGCATTTCACGTCATGGTAATCAGTGTTCAGGCTTGCGCAAGACGCGGCCCCCAAATGCTCTGGTACGGCCGAGAGTGGGGAGAGTCTACTCTCTCTCTCTCAAAATGCTTTCACATGACCACGCGTATACAGCCTCTGCCAGGGAAGTCCTACTCACTGCCTTCTCGTGGCAGGGGTGTTGTTTACGAAAATGAGAGGACGAAGAGCGAATGTCCGGCGCTTTAACCGGGTTGGTGGACACGGCGAGTCCACCTAGGGGAGTTAGAAAACCTTGATTCCAAACCAATGGTGCACATGAGCTCCAGTATCCTGAAAGAACAAATGGCGTATGAATCGATGGTTGGTCACCGGCTACCATGGGACTTTATCTACTCACGATGCTCCACTGCCTTATGGATCAGACCTTAAGGTCAAAAGCTCCGGGTGTGACCCCCTAGGAAAACCACCTGCTCCGAATTGGGCACACGGGCAGTATCACAGCCCTCACACAAATCACGAGATTTGTGTGGCGCATATGCATCTGGTGCCCCCTTGTACAAATATTCATATATTCAAATAAACACGTGGCACAACCATCTCAGTTGATGAAGTTGTGAATCTTTATCAACTGATTTACCATCATTTCTTAATACCCTGTGTCTAACCTCACTATTACTTACCCGGTGATCCAAGCAGACGCGAGCAATACTTCTAAAGCATCTGTGGTCAAATACTAGTAACTTACGAGTATTTCCTACTCTTAATGGCCACGTTTTGCAGCCGTAAGGTAGGACAGAACGAACTGTTGAACAGCATGCACGTCCTTTAATTGATAGACGGATATTTCGCCTTCGCCATAGATGACTTAATTTGGCAAATGCCAAACGAGCTTTTTGAATCCGCGCTGAGATTTCGCCAGACATTAACTGATTAGGGCTGATCAGATTTCCAGTATAAGTGTTTTCGACGCGCTCCACTACTTCACTCCCTATCCTTAATTCAGATGTTGACGCAGACCAGTCCTGAAGCAACAATTTGCATTAAGGGGAGGGGGAGAAACGCGTTCCAAAATTTCTGACATTGTAGCTCAGTGCTACGAAAACACTCTGCATTTTATCAGTGTCTTCACCAAGCAGGACTATGTCATCTGCGTATTATAAGTCGATAAGTGGACCTCCTGGTAGATCAATGCCCGAAAATTCAGTCGAGATTGTTATTTCACGAGGTTTATGTACTTCTGAAGTACACCTTTCAATGACAAACACTGCCAATGAACCTCTCGGTCTACAGAGTTTAATGCTGCTTTTAAGTTGAGAAAAACCACAAATGTCGGACGTCGATAAGGATGTCTGACGAATAGAGAATATGTAGTCGATGCAGCAATGACCAGGTCTGAAGCCAGCCTGGTTTCCTTGAGTTTATGATTCACGAGTCATATATATCCTGAAACTGGTGGTATTATCATTAACTGACATTGCTAAGGCATAGAGAGCAACACGAAATGATAAAGGAACATTAAAGTAATTCAAAAAGATCGACGTAGGTCTGCACAAGTCTTGTTTAATAAGCGCCTCTATCAAAATATTTTATACTCCAGCTCTACTCATTGTGGAGAAACCCAAGTTTTCCAACAGTCATTCCTGAATACGAATAATAATATTTGCTAAGATTGACAACTTTACACATTAACCCTCCAAGGTTAAAATGTGTTTGCACAATAAAAGCATCTTACTAGTTGCTCGACCACAAGGACCAGATAAATCAACAAAATGGACTCGACAAATTAAATGACTGACTCGGTGACATGCATAAGTTTGTCGAGTGTCTTTATTGACACATCTGTAATGTCAGGACAAAGTTCATAAATATCATTTGGCAAGACTTTAATGGACAACAGAATGATAAATTAGTGGATCTAACCTTTTCCATTGAATGATTTCTTTGAAAGGAGTACTTTTACTTGCTTCTGTGCCTTTCGCCTTACTTTATCTTGGTTAGAGGCTAGAGCTTTGGCTAATTTACGCAATACGTCCATTCAACAGCAACGCACGCGATGTCAAAATACCCGCTGTTAGTAGGTCGAACGTGAAGGGCTGAAAGAGAGAACTGCTAGTTCAATGAAATTTGTGACTAGGTAATAAATGCGACTTCTCAAACGCCATGGAGTTTATTAATAGCGTGAAAGAACCAACCCTGAATATAATAAATACGTACGCTTTTCTAACGAAAATTATTGGCTTGTAGAAGAGTCAAAAACGAACAAAATACTCGTCACATACAGATGTAGCTGTAAATAAGTCCCCTAAATCAATAGCTCTGTAAGTGTTCAATATTGGATGCTGACCACATTAGTTTTAGTGGGCTCGTTTAGCTGAAGGCATGCATCTGTATCAGATCACGTCACAGAACGGCGTGGGAAGCATCTCCTACGATCATTAGCCAGACTAGATCAGTCACTTCTCGATATATTGATAACCCATCAAATATATCTTCCAACATCCTCGCTTCTGACTTCTGATTTGAGCTTGGTGGGCGCGATTGTATTATAGGTGTTTGTTATGACTTGACCTAGCCGTCGCCAATTTGTTATGTTTTTGACCTAGGCGGTAGCCAATTGTTATGACTTGATCAAGGTCGTCGCTGATTCGCTATGACCTTACGAATTTAACAACGACGTAATTCGCGTAAATTGTCCACCAATAAAATACGACTTCTACGACCTTCACACTGTGACAATGACGTTCGACTAGTATGAGTAATCTAGCGTCCTTATTGGCCCTTATCCGCCTAACCCGTCCACCTGAGTCCAAAAACACCAATAGCAGCTGCTGTAATGCGAATCGTTTATTTCAAGCATACTTTGTTTATATATCAGACAGACAGGCCACATCATACCATATAATAGAAAATAATATTTGTACAAAACCAGGCCAAATGAGGCTGTAAGCGTGGGAGACAATAATCAATAAAACTGAGTATAACATAGGGACAGTAAATCATATAGTAATAATCAATAGGTCAAAATAAAGCTTAGATAATCTAGTTACCGGATAGTTATACAATAAGAATGATAGTCCAATAGTAGGTCCTGCAAGTTACCCGTACTTATGTCTTCGCTACTACATAACAGTGTTACTGGTAAAGAGTTGTCAAACTACAATACTGGTGGTATCTTCAGTGGTAAGACCGATGTGATCTGGTACACTAAACCATAAACCGTGAGTCTGTTACTTTTTGAAACTTCGTAGATCATTGTGTTGCTTTATTTGATTTTTATACATTGTGATATATAATACTTGATTTTTCACTATGACGGAACAGACACCCAAAGTATTTAAGTTAAAGACTATCACTCCACCCTCAATTCAGTTAATGCCTTTTTGGCCTGACAATATCAAAGCCTGGTTCTGCTACACAGAGGCTGATTTCTATGAGCACGGAATGACTGATTCACGCAAACAGTTCCTCGTGGTTGTAAAGACATTACCGCGCGGATTCAACAGGTACGTAACACCTAGTATGTTTACTAGTTATGTTTCGGAACCTTGCGAAACCCTGAAACTGTCGATTCTGAAACGTGAAGATCCAACCGACCGACAAAGGTTAGATCAACTCCTCAATAATATCGACTGGCAGCATGGTTCTGCGACAGATATGTTGCTAAGGATGAGAGAGATCATCGGCCAAAGAACTTTCAATGGTGGCTTATTCAGACAACTTTTCTTGTCTAAGCTTCCTCAACAAGTGCAAGCAGTACTTGTCTCGTTTTAAAACGACGCTGTAGACGAGCTGGCTGCATCTGCTGACCACATCCTCGAAATAACGAAGTCCTCTAATGCCGAGGTTATTTCGGTCAAAGAAAAACATTGAACCACACAGAATGACATTACGGAACTATGTCATACACTGACACGCTATCTTAGATTTCGTAATGGCGGTAAACGGTCACATGCTCCACGAAGAAGCGCTTTACGTAGGCGATCTGTCCCTAGATCACAAGAGACAGATAACCCTGACTAGTGTTGGTATCATAACCAGTATGGGAAGTCTTCCGGAAATTGCAGAAAACTCTACAATTACCCGAACTCAAAGTCGACCGACGCGAAAAACAATTCGGGAAAATTTCCAGCCGGCACGCAGTAACGGCAAACATAGCCTGCAAGCACAGCCATCTGTTATACATCAAAGATGTGGTCACGAAAGTTCGCTACCTTGTCTATACTGGCGCGGACGTCAGCGTTCTTCCAGCAACCCCTAACGACCAGTCTCACGAATCTGTTTTAAACTTACAGGCGGCAAACGGAAAGCCAGTCGCCACAAATGGTAAAAGGTACGTCTACCTTAACACGGTTTTACACAAACCCATTCACTGAATCTTCGTTTTTGCAGATGTTTCTATGCCAGTCATTAGTATAGACCTCCTACAACATCACAATCTACTCATTGACATACGCAAATGAAGGTTAGTAGACGGAAGCACAAAATTATCTGTTTGCGTAACTCCTCTTTCTGGTTACAAATTATCCCCAGTCACAATTAAACACACCATAGACCCATTATATCAATCATTACTAGATGGGTACTCCGGGATATATCAACGGTAACCGAAATTGCCGTGTGTAATCAGCAACTTTACACATGACGCCGACTGGCTCCCGAGAAGCTGAGGTTGCCCAAAAACGAATTCGATCACATGATAGGCTTAGGAATCACTCGACCGTCAAATGGCTCATGGTCATCTCCCTTGCATGTTATTATATCTTAGTGAAGTATGGGTAACTTCCGGGACCTATTAATGAACGATTATTCTATGTATATTCTTATTGTTTAACTATTGAGTAACTAGATTGTGTATATCCATATTCATCTCATAAGCTTCATTTTGACCTATGGATTATTATCATACTAATTACTGTCCCTAAATTATATTCAGTTTATTGATTACTGTCCCCCACGTTCACAGCCACATTTGGCTTGATCTTGTACACATATTATTTTCTATTTTATCGTGTGATGCGGTCTGTCTGTCTGGTATATAACAGAATATGCTTGGAATAAATGATTCGCATGGCAGAATTTCAAATTGGTGTTCTGGACTCAATTGGAAGGGCTAGGCGGACAATGGACCAATAAAGACGCTAGACTACTCATACTGATCGAACGTCATTTATTTGTCACAGTATTAAGATCAGAAAAGTTGTATTTCGATTGGTGGGTATTTCACATGATAAAAGCCAGACATAAGATCAATAACGAATTTTCATACGTCCTTCCTATTTATTTTTTAAATCCAAAGCACACATTGTCCCTAAAAAGGACAGCAACGATTGGCATCCAACTGGTGATTATCGGCGTCTGAATGCTGAAACCATTTCCAATCGTTACCCGTTGACTCACATTCACGATTTGACAGCTACCTTGAAAGGTAAAACTGTCTTTTCGAAAATCGACTTTGTTAAAGCTTATAACCAAATTCCTATGGCTACTGACGATATTCCAAAAATCGCTATCATAACTCCCTTCGGACTGCAAGAATTTTTACGAATGCCCTTCGGTTTAAGAAATTCTGCTCAAACCTTCCAAAGGTCTATAGATGACGTTTTCCGAGGTCTCAACTTCGTACATGCGTACGTTGATGACTTTCTCATAGCAAGACCGGACAGAAAATCACATCTCCAGCATCTGGACATTGTTTTCGAACGACTTCAAAGGCATGGAATCACCGTCAGCACTCAGAAATGCCATATCAGAAAAAACTCTTTAGACTTCTTAGGACAGACCACTGATGCCCAAGGCATCCGATCTCCTAGAAGCAAAGTGACGGCCATTCTGGACTACCCAGAACCGACCACAATTAGGCAGTTGCACACATTTAACGGTCTTGTAAGTTTCTATACGCAGTTCATACCGAAATGAGCATTCCTTATGAAACCGTTAACCGACTAACTCCGTGGAAATGCGAAATCAATTAATCTAAACGACACCGCGCGAAAAGCATTCTCCACAATTAAGGAAAACATCTCCAAGGCAACCCTGCTTTATACGTCAGTCATCTGACATCATGCTCCCTATATCCAAGGGTCTGAAGAATAATTGTGTTCCCAGTTTCACTGAAAATGATGTCCCGAAATGTCTCCAGTCACTTAATTCATCCCCATGTTTAGAACCTGATGGTATCCCAAACCTCCCTTTTAAAAAATGTGCTGATGTTTTATGTTATCCATTAACGAATATCTTTAACAGATCCTTCTCAACTAATGTCTTACCGAAAATGGGGAGAAAGATAAAGATAATCCCTATACCAAAGAAAGCTTCTGGTGATAAAAATGTGAAACTTAGACCCATTGCAATAACTTCACCTTTCCTCAAAATAATGGAAAAATTACGGATACAACCACTTCAACCTGCAATGAAAGAGCACTGTGATCCATATAAGTTTGCTTACAAATGTAAAAGAAGCACTTTAGATGCCGTTGCTGTTCTGCATCACACTATAGTGTTCGGGTTGGAAAAGGGTAAGAAGTATGTTAGATGCGCATAGAAATGAAGGAGTTCTTATCTCGTATTGAAAGGTGGTCTGTTGGTAATGGTCTCTTACTCAATCCATCTAAATGTCAAGCTGTTAATTTTAGCTTGAGACATGGACAAAACCTATACTCTATTTTGGGATTCCATAATGCTTTTGCCATTGGAGGCTCCTTAATAAACACAGTGTCGAAGGTGAAATATCTTGGTTTTATTTTTTCTTCTGATCTTTCTTGGTCTTCTCATGTTTTACTGTTATCGAAAAAAGTTTACCGTTTGACATACTACATAAAGAGGCTGCATGCTTTTGGGACTACTCGCCATTTACTCTTACAATTTGTAAATTCCTGCATATTACCTATTATTCTATATTGTTCTCCATTATTCCATCCCGGGCTTTTGAGGAAAGACTTTGCTGTTTTGCGTAGAGTGCTGAAGGCGGTTTGCAAGGTATGTGGTGAATCTTTTTAAGTCATTATTAATATGCTTGTGGACAGACATCTTAAGTCTTACAAACTCTTGGCAGGTGTAATCTTATCAGA